CTTCCCCTCTGCCTGTGATATAATTAACAAAGACAATGGGCTAACTCAATTAACTCTAAATTGAAAAAACATTCATTTTTACAAACCCCACAAAGTACCCCATAATACAACATATCCCCACAAACGTCACATCCCCTGATAGCCCAGATCTGGGTGAACAACATATCCAAAAATCACCTAGATCGGTTCAGGGGTTCAGGAATTTCCTGGTAGTCTTATTTTTGCCCCACCGTGTGTGGCGGAACCAGCCTCGCCACTGGGCATTGGAGAAGACTGATTGCCAGCCTCCTGCCATGTGACTATGGCCCCTGGGATGTATTCCCTGCTCTCCTGTACTGCTGAGGTTTGCTACCAACTAGGTGGATTTGGCTATGGAGCTTGACTAGTGCCCTCTGTTGGTAGCAACAGCTGCAGGCACACGAGATATTTTCTGTTAATTATTGTCTCCCCCACCAAAAATATGCCATTGTGTTATAATAAGTTACTGTATGTTGCCTGCTATGATTTAACAGTTTGTAATTTTATTGAGTTTTCACAGCAATGTTAATGTAATGACCATATGGGCTAGTCCCAAGTAAAATAAAGTTTTAGACAGTTCTACTTCACCCTCAATTTGGAGTCCTGTCTCTTATAGGGGGAATTGCTATATCACTACAAGGGATTGCTATGCTCTGCATACTCCTTTAGCTAATCACTACTAAGCTCTTTTAAGAGCTTGTTCCTGCTTCACTCTCTTGGAGGAGAGGTTCACCCACTTGAACCTGGAGCCTTGTTGTAAGTCCAGGGTGGGTAGGAGACGACGAGACCCCAACCAAGCTGCGGCGGTTTGTGTGGTCTGCGGTGGTTGTGGTGTCTGCGGAGCGCTTGGAGCCCTCTGTAAGCGCTCAGAGCATCCTTCAACGGAGGTACCCAGTCGGGGTGCCAGGTGATCCATTACACCGTGCACATGGTCCCATGCCCAAAACAGTACCATACACTCGACGATAAAACACTGCTGGACAATTTAAGATGGCCGCCGCCACATGTTTGAATCTGTTCCAGTTAAAAGTCCAAGGGGCAGTAACAGTACTTTTGAACATGGGTTATCACAGGGCCCGTAGTCCCAGGGTAGGAGGCTGGCACACAGGCCCCTCCAAAAACCAGTGCGAGGTTACTTTCGCCACATCTCTCATGCACAAAAAATCCTGTACCCCAAAAGTCCCTCAACCACACACAAAGCACATTCCCTGATAGCCCTAATCTGAGTGACCAACATAATCAAGAATCACTCAGATCGGTTCGGTAGAACGAGAATGTCATTGTGGTGAAGTTTTGACAGGCCGGACAAGAGGGGCTATACCAAAATAGTTCCAGAGAATTAGGTGTGCTGGCCGGTCTCCGTTAGTGGGGTTCCCATGCGAAAACCATACAAGGGAATCTCTCGCTTTCAGGGTATGAATACTCCCCTGGTTCAGTAGTTTATATCTCCAGAACACCGTTCGTGTAGGTTGTAGGGAACAGGAACGGGCAGCGATCAAAAGTTTACCGGTGTTCGCGAGAGTGCCTAGCCAAAATAAGTTCCTGGCACTCGACAACCAAGTAGCGCTGCACTCGTTCATGAGACAAGATGGCCGCCATTCTCCCAGCCACATGTTCGGTTATACAAAATGGCGGCCACCAAGGGGAAGCACTCATTAATAGTTTCCCTTGCGGTTTCGCACTTAAGTGGTTGGTGTGAACGTTCTAATGGGGTACAGGGGTGGTCCTCGTTTGGGAGACAAATGGGTTCCGTTTGCATGAAGTCTTCCAAACGGACAAAGTGAAACCACATGAAATAACAAGGGTAAAAACACAGTACTGCAACAGGGGGTGTATGGACAGCCAATAAAGGGAATAAAATTAGTTTTGTGAGGGTCCATTCCCCTTCACTGCATACATTATATAAATACACTGCACTCATCGTAGAGACACCCCTATTACTGCTCACACTGCATACATACTGCACAGGCAGCCCTATTACTGCGCACAATGCATACATAGTGTACAGGCAGCCCTATTACTGCGCACACTGCATTCATACTGCACAGGCAGCCCTATTACTGCACACACTGCATACATAGTGTACAGAGAGCCCTACTACTGCGCACACTGCATTCATACTGCACAGGCAGCCCTATTACTGCACACACTGCATACACAGTGTACAGACAGCCCTATTACTGCATACACTGCATACACAGTGTACAGACAGCCCTATTACTGCACACACTGCATACACAGTGTACAGACAGCCCTATTACTGCACACACTGCATACATACTGAACAGTCCTATCACTGCACACAGTGTACAGAGAGCCCCTTTTCTGCGCACACTGCATACATAGTGTAAAGACAGCCCTATTACTGCACACACTGCATACACAGTGTACAGACAGCCCTATTACTGCACACACTGCATATATACTGAACAGTCCTATCACTGCACACATAGTGTACAGAGAGACCCTTTTCTGCGTACACTGCATACATACTGCACAGAGCCCTATTACTGCACACACTGTGCAGACAGCCCTATTATTGCGCACACTGTGCAGACAGCCCTATTACTGTGCACACTGCATACATAGTGTACAGACAGCTCTATTACTGCGTACACTGCATACATAGTGTACAGACAGCCCTATTACTGCACACACTGCATACAGTGTACAGACAGATCTATTACTGCACACACTGCATACATAGTATACAGACAGCCCTATTACTGCACACACTGCATACATACTGAACAGTTCTATCACTGCACACAGTGTACAGTCAGCCCTATTACTGCGTACACTGCATACATACTGCAGACAGCCCTATTACTGCACACACTGTGCAGACAGCCCTATTACTGCGCACACTGCATACACAGTGTACAGACAGCTCCATTACTGCACACACACACACATACTGAGCACAGTCCTATTACTGCAGACACTGCATACATAGTATACAGACAGCCCTTTTACTGCGCACACTGCATATATAGTGTACAGACAGCCCTATTACTGCATACACTGCATACATAGTGTACAGACAGCTCTATTACTGCGTACACTGCATACACAGTATACAGACAGCCCTTTTACTGCGCACACTGCATATATAGTGTACAGACAGCCCTATTACTGCATACACTGCATACATAGTGTACAGACAGCTCTATTACTGCGTACACTGCATACACAGTATACAGACAGCCCTTTTACTGCGCACACTGCATATATAGTGTACAGACAGCCCTATTACTGCATACACTGCATACATAGTGTACAGACAGCTCTATTACTGCGTACACTGCATACACAGTATACAGACAGCCCTTTTACTGCGCACACTGCATAGTGTACAGACAGCCCTATTACTGAGTACACTGCATACATAGTGTACAGACAGCCCTATTACTGTGTACACTGCATAGTGTACAGACAGCCCTATTACTGCACACACTGCATACATACTGAACAGTCCTATCACTGCACACATAGTGTACAGAGAGACCCTTTTCTGCGCACACTGCATACATACTGCACAGAGCCCTATTACTGCACACACTGCATACACCCCTATTACTGAGTACACTGCATACATAGTGTACAGACAGCCCTATTACTGTGTACACTGCATAGTGTACAGACAGCCCTATTACTGCACACACTGCATACATACTGAACAGTCCTATCACTGCACACATAGTGTACAGAGAGACCCTTTTCTGCGCACACTGCATACATACTGCACAGAGCCCTATTACTGCACACACTGCATACACAGTGCCGACAGCCCTATTACTGCGCACACTGTGCAGACAGCCCTATTACTGCGCACACTGTGCAGACAGCCCTATTACTGCGCACACTGCATACACAGTGTACAGACAGCCCTATTACTGCGTACACTGTATACAGTGTACAGACAGCTCTATTACTGCGTACACTGCATACAGTGTACAGACAGCTCTATTACTGCGTACACTGCATACAGTGTACAGACAGCTCTATTACTGCGTACACTGCATACAGTGTACAGACAGCTCTATTACTGCGTACACTGCATACATAGTATACAGACAGCCCTTTTACTGCTCACACTGCATACACAGTGTACAGACAGCCATATTACTGCATACACTGCATACACAGTGTACAGACAGCCCTATTACTGCACACACTGCATACATACTGAACAGTCCTATCACTGCACACAGTGTACAGAGAGCCCCTTTTCTGCGCACACTGCATACATAGTGTAAAGACAGCCCTATTACTGCACACACTGCATACATAGTGTACAGACAGCTCTATTACTGGGTACACTGCATACATAGTGTACAGACAGCTCTATTACTGCACACTGCATACATAGTGTACAGACAGCCCTATTACTACACACACTGCATATATACTGAACAGTCCTATCACTGCACACATAGTGTACAGAGAGACCCTTTTCTGCGTACACTGCATACATACTGCACAGAGCCCTATTACTGCACACACTGTGCAGACAGCCCTATTATTGCGCACACTGCATACATAGTGTACAGACAGCTCTATTACTGCGTACACTGCATAGTGTAAAGACAGCCCTTTTACTGCACACACTGCATACAGTGTACAGACAGCTCTATTACTGCACACACTGCATACATACTGAACACAGCCCTATTACTGCGTACACTGCATACACAGTATACAGACAGCCCTTTTACTGCGCACACTGCATAGTGTACAGACAGCCCTATTACTGAGTACACTGCATACATAGTGTACAGACAGCCCTATTACTGTGTACACTGCATAGTGTACAGACAGCCCTATTACTGCACACACTGCATACATACTGAACAGTCCTATCACTGCACATAGTGTACAGAGAGACCCTTTTCTGCGCACACTGCATACATACTGCACAGAGCCCTATTACTGCACACACTGCATACACAGTGCCGACAGCCCTATTACTGCGCACACTGTGCAGACAGCCCTATTACTGCGCACACTGTGCAGACAGCCCTATTACTGCGCACACTGCATACACAGTGTACAGACAGCCCTATTACTGCGTACACTGCATACAGTGTACAGACAGCTCTATTACTGCGCACACTGCATACATAGTGTACAGACAGCTCTATTACTGCACACACTGCATACATACTGAACACAGCCCTATTACTGCGTACACTGCATACACAGTATACAGACAGCCCTTTTACTGCGCACACTGCATAGTGTACAGACAGCCCTATTACTGAGTACACTGCATACATAGTGTATAGACAGCCCTATTACTGTGTACACTGCATAGTGTACAGACAGCCCTATTACTGCACACACTGCATACATACTGAACAGTCCTATCACTGCACATAGTGTACAGAGAGACCCTTTTCTGCGCACACTGCATACATACTGCACAGAGCCCTATTACTGCACACACTGCATACACAGTGCCGACAGCCCTATTACTGCGCACACTGTGCAGACAGCCCTATTACTGCGCACACTGCAGACAGCCCTATTACTGCGCACACTGCATACACAGTGTACAGACAGCCCTATTACTGCGTACACTGCATACAGTGTACAGACAGCTCTATTACTGCGTACACTGCATACAGTGTACAGACAGCTCTATTACTGTGTACACTGCATACATAGTATACAAAAAGCCCTTTTACTGCTCACACTGCATACATAGTGTACAGACAGCCCTTTTACTGC